CGTGTGACACCCTGCTTCAGAAACAACCAGGTCTGATAAACCCGTTTATTATAGTCATGGATTTCCCAGACCAGAAACCTTTCCAAACCCTCAATCTCATGCTGCGTGAGAAAATCTCACTTTTCAAAAATAAACTGAGAACTTGGAAAAAAAAATCAACAGTCGTTGTATGGATCTGGTTGCCTACTCGCCATTCAATCGTAGATGGTTGTAAGTAAGGAACTGTAATGATGACTGCATGGAATGGGGCACGGCCGGCTATGAGGCTCCCAGGGCAGGGGGGGTCATATCAGTGAATATACATGTGAGGGCCAGGGAACAGGGAGGGGACCACTCACCAAGCTGTGTTTGTGTCACTGCCATATTAGATATGCATGGACTGAAAAAGATCAGGGAACATGTTTTGAATTGCAGATAATAAGGCAAAAACATATTTTTCTATTTTTGCTCTGTAACTCAAATATCCTAGACCTTGCTAGCCTGTGGGTGCCAAAGAGGCCACAGTAACATTAGACTTTGAACATTGGTAGGCTCGGGGAGAGAGCAGTGAGAGGTGGAGAGAGTTGGGCTACATTGAGCCAGTCTTCCAAGGATATACCGATGCTGGCATCAGACCAGACTAAAGTACTGGTACTTAGCAAAGACTTATATAAGAGGGATCCTATAGGGTTACTTGATGAGATGCTCATCTTACTGCTTCAGCAGCTGTGGCTCCTTCCCCACTAGCTTTACCAGGTCCAAGGCATCATTCCTAGAGCAGCCGCTTCACCTGGCTAACTCTCCTCCTCCTCTAGACTGCAGTCTTTGGGCAGCCTTCCCCAGAAAATGACCCAACTGTAGTGCAGGTGTGCATGTGAAGAGGCTGGTGTGTGTGTGTGTGTGTGTGTGTGTGTGTGTGTGTGTTGCATAGGGCTTCCTGCATAGGAAAGGAACAACAGTAGCTGTCTCATCCACAAGTAGACACTACCACTGCCTGCCCTACTCCAGCCCTGTACACCCACAGTCACCTGTTTGAAGTTCATCATTAGAAATTATTTAGGGCTAACAAGCTGCACTTTATTTAGGGTGTAAATACACTTTCTGGGTGAAGGGTTACGTCTACAAACCTTTCTTTATATTTCTATCTCATTTTCCCTCATTACATCTTATCTGAGCACTGAGGAAGGAGACAGGCAGCAGCAGAACTAGAGGAAGAAGAGGAGAAGGAGGAGGAAAAGGAGAAGGAAAAGAGAGAAGGAGGAGGAAAAGGAGAAGGAAAAGAGAGACAGAGGATGAAGGATCCGGGAGGAGCCACACATCACTCTGAGTGAGACCAGCTTCCCTCTCAAGACGTCCTCTTTCCCTTACACCTCTAGCTTCTTTGCATTTAAGATGAATTCCAGAAAAATCCCCACTCACAAGGCCTCTCTCTGTTGGCACATACATGAAAGAAAGTTCTCTGGTTTGAGGTTTGGTGCAAACTTTTGCCACCAGCTCTGGTTGTTGTTTCCAGCCTCCGGTGGTTTCCTCCCCCGGCCCAGTCTCTCAGGCTTCCTTTTTCTCTGGGCAGCCTCTATTGCCAAACCAACAGGGTTTCTTCTGCAGCTTCTCAGCCACAGCCTGCAAGCATTTGGGATCTAGACGGTGTCCCTCCCAAGTCCTACTGCTCTTCTCCCCTTGGGCCCCTCGCTTACTGAATCCTGGGTCAGGGCACACAACTCAAGACAAGGTCAAGAGAAATCTGCACTCTTCAACCCAGTGCCTCCTGCCCTCTATGGAACTGAGGCCAATTGTCCCCTCTTCCTTCTCTTTGAGCTCCTCTCCCAGAAAAGAAGCCACAAGACAAATGCAATAATGAACATGGTACACTTTCTGTACAGGTCAAAGAGACAGGAGAGAATCTAGGTCATATAACTCCAGAGAAATGACTTGAAATGCATCTTCCAGAATGATTTTCAGTGCTTCTTCTCCCCTCGCTGATGCCCTCCCCCTACCAACATGCCAAGACACTCAGTTTTGTCCCAGCTCTCTTTATTAAATGGTTCTTCAACCCTACCGGCAATGCTCTAGAAGGGAAAGTCCCATCTGTTACACTTCATTCTGCTGTACTAGAGAACAGTGGTTGGTTAAAAGCAAAGGTTCTGGGCCCAGATTGCCTGGATCAAATTCTAGCTCAAATAGGTAGTAGCTGTATGAATTTAGACAACTGATGGAACTTTTGTGTTTCCTCATCTGTAAAGTGAAGATAATAGTATCTACTGTACTACTCAGGAGGCTGAGGCAGGAGGTTCATGTGAGCCAGGAGTCAGAGGCTGCAGTGAGCTATGATCGCACCACTGCACTCCTTCGTCTGGGTGACACAGTGAGACCCAGTCTCAAACTTAAAAAATAATGATTTCCTAGAGTATTGTTATGAAGTCAAATGAGATGATACATAAAACTTAAAGCAGGGCCTGGCACACTGTACGTGTCACACCTAAGTAATATAGTGCTTACTTTAAGGGTTTATTCTTAGAAGACAGTTTGTCAACCACGTTTGCCCACTGAACACCCCCTTTGGGATCTAACCCCCACCCATGGCACACACCTTTTAAGGATGGCCAGAAGGTGTATGGTGAATGAAATTGCTTCATAGCAATATCTTTAAGCCAACATTCATTCGTTCAGGCTTGGAGAAATTCCTCCTCACAGCTTCTTTGAGCTTACTGACTTCTAATTAGTGAATGTACGCCTGCCCCAAGGCTCTTCACCACGCATTACATCACGCGGCTTCATTCCACAGTTTTCCATAAAACTTCCTCATGTCTTGCTAGTACACCCCCAAATCAACTCGTGCATCTCTGCCCCAGTTCCTGGTTCACACTGGTTTCCCTCGTGATAAATGATTATGACATTTACAATTTTCCAGGAAAACAGGGGCAACACAAGCCATAATAAACTGTGAAGCCAAATTTTGCTAAAGATAGCTATCAACCTATGCCACAAAGCCCAACTACAGTTGTAGGATTGCAGCAGGATGTTCCCATGGTAACCAACATACGTGCGAATCTTATAAACATATCTTAAGAAAGACAGTGAGTGGAAAACACGCTGCACTGAAGAGGGAAGAGCCAGGTCTGGCCCCAGCTCTGCGGCTGATCAGCTGGGTGGGCTAAGGCAGCTATTTATAACTGACCCACTGTCTCAGACTCTACCAGTATTTTTCAAATGTGAGCTCAGTTCACCTACATCAAAATTGATAGTTATGCTTTTGTAAAATACGTATTCTTGGGCTCCATCAGAACTACTAAATCAGAATTTCTGGGTGGGAGAACCAAGAATCACATTTTTAACAAGATCCCCAGGTGATTCTTAAATGCACTAAAATCTGAGAATCACAGGGCTCTCTAATCCTTCCACCAGCATGTTAGAGTTCCCTGCTTATTCGTGCAGGTCAGAAGTTGATTGCTTGGACCCAAAGAATCATTGCAAAAATCTCTGAGCCACAACCAAGCAGAGAATATGTTTGTCAGAATACTCTATCATTCAACCAATATTTGCCCAGTACTTTCTACATGTCAGGTACTATTCTTAGGATACATCAGTCAAAAGTGTGACAAATGCCTGCCCTCATGGAGCTCCCATTCTAGTGTATGGAAACAGACAATAAATAAGCTGTTAATTAATGTAAAGATGGATGAACTATGTAGTATGTAAATAGAGTAAGGAAGGTGGGGTCAGGATGGAGGGCTATTAAAATTTCTCCTAAATTATATGCATCCACAAAAATCAACTTACATGTTTATTACAAAGGCTTGACAGGCAGGCCCCACTGCATCTTGAAGGAGACCTTGGGAATGTAGTAGATGCTCTTGGTGCACGGCCCAATCCCCTTCAGGGCTTGTATAACTCCTCTGATAGAACTTCACTTCCAACCTCTCTCTTCACCCCATTCCTTCCACATCCTGTCAATGTCTCAATGACTAAGACTGGTGGGCCCCTGCCTGGAGGTAGGGCCAACCTGGTGGTGTAGTTTGCACTCCCTGAGCCCTCTCCTTCCTAGTTTTCCCCTCCCCTATCCTGCTGTCCTCACTCCCAGTGTCTTCAGAGCACTCTTTGATAAATCACTTGCCTGAGAATCCCTGTCTCCAGTTCTGCTATTAACAGAATCCAGCCTAAGAGCAGGCCCTTAAGCAATAGGAGAGGATACTTACGGTCTACAGACTAGGAGGCTTGAAAATGGTTAGGGTTCACTCTCCCCCAAATCTTTATTGTTCCATTTTCATCCTCGATTTATATGTAAACATTCAGAGTCTCTGGGAGCTTGACATGACCCTGTGCTGGAAAGCAGCAAGGCACTCTGAGATGTCCTGCCTGCTATCTAACCCTCTGTTCTGACTCCTTCACTTCGTCAGCCAGACACTTTCCAAGTACCAACAATGTAGCAGGAGCCGTGCTGGGCTTGGGGATACAGCACAAACATAATAAGGTCCTCAGCATCATATTTAATGTTCTGTCAAACTGTTAATGCTTGAAAATGGGGCCGGGCACGGTGGCTCACACCTGTAATCCCAGCACTTTGGGAGATTGAGGCGGGTGGATCACAAGGTCAAGAGATCAAGACCATCCTGGCAAACATGGTGAAGCCCCATCTCTACTAAAACAAAACATTAGCTGGGTGTGGTGACAAGCGCTTGTGGTCCCAGCTACTCCGGAGGCTGAAGCAGGAGAATCGCTTGAACCTGGAGACGGAGGTTGCAGTGAGCTGAGACTGTGCCGCTGCACTCCAGCCTGGCAACAGTGTGAAAGTCTGTCTCCAAAAAACAGAAAAGAAAATGGCCCCAGCTTGTGCGTAATTAGCTGGCTTAAAGATAACGTTCACGTAGCTTTCTCATCAGCAATTTTTTAAAGCCAATTTTGACACAGCTTTGCCCAAATAAATGAACATTCTTATCTTGAAGGCCTTCTTGAAGCAGAGAAGGGCGGAGGGGGCAGAAGGGACCAGGGCCGGAGCATGTTCTAATGTAACATGAGAAAACACGTGCACGCCAGCGTTGTTTATTACAAAAAGCAAACCCCTGCTTTTTCTTCATTCACTGTTTCCCACACTCCCCCATCAGAGACTGATTTCTTTTCTCAGTGACGCTGACGGATGTCCAATGAGACATTCTTCACACTCTTGACAACACAGACATTCTTGAAATATTTGCAAACCTAAGAAAATTCTTAGGAGGTTTTCTTTCAAATAAATTTGGTAATATAACCTTTCTCTGCTCCTGACATCTTGTGGTAGGGAGGAGGGGCGGGCTGGGGGTTGTGGGGTGGGGAGGCAGGCAACATGGAAACAAAAAATTAAATGGGGGTTTATCTGTAGAAATTTACCAGGGGCCTCAGTGGTGAAGGCCAACCTGCCTGCTAGCCCCAGATAGCTGAGAAGGCCTGGGTCGGAGAAGAGGGTCGGGTGAGGGTCTTGAACTGGCGGAGCTTCTCCCAAGGGGCTGAGCAGTCAGAAGCAGTCGGAAGGCTCCAGGTGCAGTCGGAAGCTTGATGCGTAGTCAGAAGCTCCAGGAATATTTGATGGACATGGTTTCCTACAGGCAAAAGGAAATAGTTTTGCATCAGTAAAGGGCTGAGGTCATTGCCTCCTGGTGTTTTTCTCCTGGCTGGAGAGAGGAGGGGCTGTAGAATTTAGCAGGGAGACAATGATGGTTACTCAGTGCTGCAAGTTTCCGGCAAGCAGGAAGAGCAGCTGTGTTACTTACAGGCCACTTTCCCTGTGTCTATTCACAAGCCCCCCCAAGAAAGAGCCTGTGCCTTCGGGGCGCATTTCCTCCCCTGCATCTCTCTCCTCACAACCAAGAGCAAGGCCTAGAACAGTGGCACTCAGGGAATGAGTGCAGGAGAATCACCCAGGCATGGGGGGCCAACGCAGAGGCGGATTCAGTAACTCCTGGTTGGTGGGACCTCACAGTCTGCGTCTCTACCAAACTCCAGGTAATCCCAGTGCCCACGCGGTCTCGGAACTACACTTGGATAGCGGTGGCATAGCTGGTTCCAAACCATCTACTCATGCTGCGGGAGGGGAGGAGGAGTTGGCCCATGTGGTTATATTGAAAAAGGTGGTGCTTTTCTGATGACAGCAAATCTCCAATCTTAGCCCTGGAAACTACTCCAGAGATGGAGTGCTGCTGCTATTGCTGTCTCTTACTGCCCTTCTTTCTCCATCACACAGTCCAGCATGACTGATGCTGTGGCCAGCTGCCTCAGTATCTCAGCACAGGGTAGCCTCCTGGAAAAGAACATTCACAAGACACAAAAGCATAAAAATAAATTTCGCATCCACCAGGCAATTCTCTGCTCAGTCACCCCACCTCCAGCTGCTTTCTGAGCAGCATTGAGCAGCCATTCAGCAAGGCAGCCTTTCCTCTGCTGTAGGAAGGCGTGCTTCTAGCTGGAGCTCACTCCCCCTCTGCAGCAGAGTGTGCTTTTCATTAAACAGCCACTCCAGATGAAAGGGCCATTTGCTTCTAAATTGTGTAAATGGCTATTTCTTTATTGCTCTCCTAACAGGGGCTGCCCTAAAATTGGCATGAAGGGCTTCCAGTTTGCATTTTTCCTGTTTTGCAAGCCTCACTCAGTTTTCACAGCTTTTGAACTCTCAATTCCAGCCTGCCTGAGTGGGTGAGAGAGCAGGGGGCGGGGCATGGCGGGGGTAGAGGGATCTCATTAGCCCAGGCTAAGAGCAGCCTTGGCAAGGAGCCAGGGGAGGGAGGCCTTGTTAGGTGGAGTTGGCACCTGGCTTGTTGTATGGTTAATGACTCAGGGACCATAAGAGAACCTGGGTAAGGTGCAGTTTGGGCAACAGCAAATAACTGGCTTGAGTCATGGCTGGATGTTTACCGTATTATTTAGAAGGAAAGCTGGAGCTGTGATGATTCCTAAACAGAGAAAGGCAGGCTGACGCAGACATGAAAGCTGTCGAGTCAGAATAAGGTATGCCTGGCGGCTTTGTCTCCAGGATGCTGTGTTCTTTGATTTGTCATAGAGGATGGCGTGGTTCCGAACAGCAGATCACTGTTCAGAAGCATCCTAGCATTAAGTCAATCAGAGAGTGCCCTCCTAGGTGGAGAGGGGGAGGGCAAATTGCTTCAGGAGAGGTAATGACATTGTCTTCTTCTTGGAGGCTACCTCAGCTCACCAACAGGTCCCCGAAACTGTGCACCTTGGCACTGGCTTCTGCAATGCCAAGTCAGGGCTGGACTGAACTGACAGGTCCTTCAATAATTTGGGATAAACACAACTTTCTTGCCTGGACCATGTTGGATCTCTTGGGGACATTCTCAGAGGGTATGGGTCTGGGCTAGGCTCTGTGCTGGGAAAAGGGCCCTTAAGGTAGATGGGAGAGTTAATATGTTTAAAGAGCTTAGACCATTGTCCAGCACATTATAAGCCCTAAATAAATAATCACTATTTTTATTAGGCAATCTGATTCATTCCAGAGGTGCCCCCAAACCTTCCCAGAACTGAATGGCACTAGCTAGTCAGAAGTAATCCTGCCCAAGTTTCTGTAATGTGTGTTGCAGCAAGTTCTTTACTGATCAAAGAGTAAGCATTTTCCATTGATTTATGTCTTTAACAAAATAATTGAATGAGCATGGGTTTAAAGTTGCTTTCTGAGTAGCGGGGAAAATGAGTTAGTTATAGCTGACTCTCAGGGAATGACATGGTAACCCCCACATTTGCCAGCGATGCTGTAGCAGAACTGAACGCTGAAGCCACACTGCCTGGGTTTTACTCCTGGCTCTGCTGCTTCCCAGCCCTGACTTTGGGCAAGCAACTTTACTTCTGTACCTCAGTTTCCTCAACTGTAGATGGGAATGACAAGAGAACCTATCTGAGAGAGTTGTGGTGAGGACCGAGTGGGTTCATGTGTGGAGAGAATTTAGCATAGTGCCTGGCATATCACTAGTGCTACTATATTGTCACCCCTTTGGAGGTACTGGTGTCATTTGTCATCTGTCTACCAGTGGAAAGAAGGCCAGGAACTACTACTGTGGATTGTCTGTGTGTCATTCCATCAGTAAATTGGTTGGGAACTTGGTTCAGTAGTACTTCTCCTCCTGTACTAGACTGCACATGAAGGCAGTGAATGTCCCGTTTTATCAATGACTGAATCCCCAACACCTGTAACAGGCCTGGGCCATTGAACAATGTTGGTCCTTGATAAACATCTGTGAAATGTTGAGTCAATGAATTAACATAAATTGAAAGGACTTCAGCCAGGAGTGGTGGCTCATGCCTGTAGTCCCAGCACTTTGGGAGGCTGAGGTGGGCGGATCAAGACATAAGGAGTTCAAAACCAGCCTGGCCACCATGGTGAAACCCCGTCTGTACTAAAAAGTACAAAAATTAGCCAGGTGCAGTGGTGCGTGCCTGTAATCCCAGCTACTTAGGAGGCTGAGGCAGGAGAATCACTTGAACCTGGGAGACAGGGGTTGCAGGGGTTGAGATCATGCCACTGCACTCCAGCCTGGGTGAAAGAGCAAGACTCCCTCTCAAAAGAAAGAAAGAAAGAACTTCATGAGTATCTGCTAGGTTGACAATATTTTTCCAGGGTAAGAATTGTTGTCTGGCTCACTCTGCCTCCGTCTGTCTACTCCATCCTACGGTCCATCCTCAAGTGTCTGCATTTTGCCTAGGGATTAAGCAACAGGGGAGTTTGGCTTGCAGAGAAGCTGCACTGTGTTCTGGTTCTCTTCCAGCCCGCAGTGAGCCTGACACCCCACTGTGCATCTGTATGCAGAGAAATTTCAGAGAAATTTGGGGGAGGCTCCAAACTATTCTAGCGGCTGCTCTAGAGGAGTCTGAGGAAGTAGAGTGTAAGTGAAGCTTCGGAGAAGTGAAAGTGTGGTTAGGAGGAAATAAAAGAAAAGAGCAAAATAAAAGCATATCTGTAGGGGACACCTGTCATGTTTCCTGGCTACACAGCATCTACCGAAAGTCCCTCCAGTGTTTGGTGCCTTACGAGCTCATCAGAAAACATATTCCTAGTCTCCCTTGCCACTACTGCCCTGGCGTGTGATCTGGGCTCCACCCTCCAGACATGCTTGTGTGAGACTTGAGCCTTCACTTTGAAAGTGGCCAATGTAAGAATGCCAGTGCCATCCAGAATCCATTTCCTGGTGAAGATGGTGGAGGGGATGTTTTGTAGGGGCAGTGACTGAAAGGTCAAATTCCTGGTTCAGAAGTGCTACTACTGGCCAGGAGTAATCCCAGCACTTTGGGAGACTGAGGCAGGTGGATCACCTGAAGTCAGGAGCTCAAGACCAGCCTGGCTAACATGGTGAAACCTCATTTCTACTAAAAATACAAAAAATTAGCCAGGCGTGGTGTTGCATCCCTATACTCCCAACTACTTGGGAGGCTGAGGCAGGAGAATCACTTGAACCTGGGAGGCGGAGTTTGCAGTGAGCCAAGATAGCGCCATTGCACTCCAGCTTGAGCAACAAGAGTGAAACTTCATCTCAAAAAAAAAAGAAGTGGCCAGGCGAGGTGGCTTACACCTGTAATCCTGGCACTTTGGGAGGCTGAGGCGGGCAGATTGCCTGAGATCAGGAGTTTGTGACCAGTCTGGGCAACAATTGTGAAACCCTGTCTCTACCAAAATACAAAACATTAGCCAGGTGTAGTGGCATGGGCCTGTAGTCCCTGTACTCTGGGGGCTGAGGCAGGAGAATTGCTTGAACCTGGCAAGCAAAGGTTGCAGTGAGCCAAGATCACACCACTGCACTCCAGAGTGAGACTCTGTTTCAAAAAAAAAAAAAAATTAAAAAAAAAAAAAAAAAAAAGGAAGTGCTCCTACTGGTGCTGAGGGCAGCAGCAGCTGCAGTAAAGTAAGATCCTGGTTTATGTAGTGACACTGAGATCTGCAGCATCCAGTGCCTGGTGGCAGTGGTGATAGAACAGATCTGTGAATGTTATTTCTCAAAACAGCCCCAAGCCTGTTCTCCAGCTTCCTGATAATTCTGCGAGCTACCTAATACCCTTTGTGTAAACTCCTTTTCTACCAAAGAAATTTAAGTGAAAAAGTGCAGACTGCTGAACCACAAAACACATGTTTAGAGCATAACCCAGGAAAGAAAATGAAAAAAAATTGTGTGGTTAAATACACATAATATAAAATTTACCGCTTTAACCACTTTTGTGTTTAATTTAGTAGCATTAAGTACATTCACAATATAGTGAAGCCATCACCACTATCCACTTCCAGAACTGTGAAAATGAAAAATTTTAACATAGATTAATGTCTTTGAATATTCCACATTTCTAGGTCAGTTTTAATTCAAGTTAACATTTAATTGTCTGATTTCTACAACGTAAGCTCCACAGCTCTGTTGTTTATTGCTGTATTACCAACATCTTGTAGATGCAGGAAAAATATTTGGTATTGAGTGATCTAATGGGATATTCTTGAGTCTAGTTTTTGTGCAATGCCTGAGCATCTGGATGGGGGTGTAGACAAGTGTATACATGCAGTGTATGGGAGTAGATGCTCCATTAATTGGAAGAAGTGATGTTATTGAAGGTGCGAAGCAGCGATTCCCAGCCAGGGCACATCTGCACCTTGAATATAGGGGCTGGAAAGGCTGAGGTAGATTACACTTTTACCTGGAATGAAGCTAACGAGGTCAACTAAAAGGCTCCCATGGGTGGGATTAAAACAAGTTAGTTTCTGCTTCTCAGAAGCTCAGACTGGCTTTCAGTGATATCATAAGAATTTCTTAAGAGTTTGGGGGGGGAAAATTAATAATAAAACAATATTTGCCGGTGCAAGAGTTAAGGGACCATTTGGTCATTTATTCAATAGTATTATTGAGCAAGTTCTTTTCTGGGAACTGAAGTATCTGCAGGAAACAAAACAGACATGTGCCTGATATTGAGACCTTAAAACATCAGATGTATCTGCTGGGGAAAGTGCTAGAAAGGACAATAAGGCTGGGTAAGGGTGGAGAGAGCAACTAGAGGTGTATGTGATTTTTGGTAGTGTCATCATGTAGGATCTCTGAGAAGGTGACATTTGGGCGAGGACCTGAGGGAAGGGAGGGAAGGTGCTGCGGGGACATCGAGAGTGTTCTAAACACACAGAACAGGAGGTACAGAGCTTGGAGGAAGGACCATGCTTGGCAAATCCCTGCAACAGCAAGGAAGTCCATGTGGCCAGAGTGGAGCATGGGGAGAGTTGTAGGCGAGAAGGTCAGAGAGGCAGCCGAGAAGATGTTTATGCTCTAG